CGGCCCTATCATATTTCATTTGATCTCCTCTTATTCTTCTTACACCTTTGTGCCATTGTCCGTTGAATTTACCGAAAATAATATAAATTAAGCACTGATATTGATTCTTATCTTCGTAAATTATACGGTTGGGTTTTATTAGCCGCAAAAAGTCCATGCTCTTGTACACTTGTACCATTGGAAATCTGTTGAATCTATAGATGGACGCGAACAGTGCAAAGAAAGTTTTCTCGACTAAAGAGGAAAACAATCAATTATTTGTCGCGAATAAATAAAATAAATCGCCTTCGAGCAAGTTAACCTACACAAAAATATATTTAATGAGAATATTTGGAACTAAAGCTCACACAAGTTGAAAAATAGCTTTGAACCAATTTTTCATAATATTTTGAAAGGTAACCCTGAAAAGGAAGGAACTTTTACCTCATAATTGGTGTCATAAAAATGGATGTTATTTTATCTTTAAGGTTCATTATTTTTGACTCATTTTCTTGGAAAAAAAAAACCATAATAAATAATTGAATGAACAAAAAGAATCAATTAAATTCCAAAAGCAAAATAAAATCATCAACATAAAAGTTGATTTTTTTCATCAATCAATTCATGTTGATGCTTCCAAATTTTCAAAATAAATAGATATATAGCTCGTGCGATGTCACTATTGAAATTTGATCGTGGATTTTAAGTCAGAATCTTGGGTGTATAAATCATTGACTCATGTTGTGATGTACGTTTCTTTCATTTAAATCTCAGCTGTGGAATTGTCTTATCAACACAAAAAAAGAAACATATGAAGCAGTAAATTAAAATGTAAACCAGCGACCGACACGTAACAAATTGTCAATCGATAAGCATGAAGCAAACAAACCCTATGGCTTTTAATTTATGCCATTGTTCGAAATCTTGTTAAATGATTATTAATATTTTTGGTTTCGTTACTGTGGAAAGTCAGCTCTCTTTGTCTGATTGTAATCTCAGCGATGTGGCCAACAACATTAAAATTGCGCAAAAGAAAACACAAATATTGGTTCCAAACAGCACTTAAATTTTATGGCTTAATTTTCTGATTGAAATCTCATTTTTTCAAAAATTGTGTTTGGGTTTGTGACGACAAGCCAAAAAATATGTACGCAACGCACTTTGGGGTTCTTATGCAATAATAATGCAATACATCTTATACTGTGTATCTGCATAACACTATAGTATTTTAATGGGCGAGGGCTGCAAACCCTCATTAAATTTCCATAAATAGGATTCGTTTTTTATTTAATTCAAAATAATTGCCATGGAATTTTCGTTGCATTCCATTGGTTGCTGTGCATTGTTGTATTGAATAAATCTCGAATTATCTCGATGGACATAATTTTAGACAAGTGTCAAACACTGATAATGATCATCTGAAAAACGGTCTCATTGCTTGAAGGAAAAACGTTTCATCACCCGTGCATTAATTAAATGAATTTTGCATTAATTGAATAAAGACACTTAATAGCCGGGTATTAAAAGCGATTTTCCATTTTTCCTTTGTTGTTAATTCGACCGAAAGACAGAACAATTGAACAAATGAAATCGAATTGCATTCGATTCGTATCATGTACACGATGTGAGTGAACGATTTTCGATTTGGGACGAATTTAGCAACAACTGCATTTCATTAACGAACAATTTGTGAAGATGCTGTTCTGCTGATATGCATGTATTTTAATTAAAGTACTGATTTTCCCTGAACACTAATGATTTTCAGTTGCGTGAGGACTTTTTGTTTTCAATCCCAATTGCGATTCTTTTGACAGAGAAAAAAGTGCTTAAACTTGGATATAATCGTGTTTTCTTGTGCGTATTTAATGCAATTGCTTTAAATGTGCCAAAATGAAAGCATGCAAACTTCCAATAATGTCGAGACGACGTTCATTCAGTCATGATTTTCTTATTGTCTCAAGATTAAATCCAACGCAAATGTGATCAAGATTCAATTTTGTGGGTTCTGTTTTATTTTCTTTTAATTTTTCATGGAACAAGTTTAATATAATGGCTTTCAATAAATGGATAAAAAGTGATAAAATGTATATTTTATTTATAGCATTAATGGTTCAATGCATCAAGTGATCGAATAAACATTTATGTTGTCATTTGTTGCCAAGTTTCGGCCATTAAATGCGTGCGACAACAACATAAAAATGTATTTATCTGAAACGTAATATGAGTAGCGAGTATGGTTTTTCATTCTTGTATTGAATGATTGAACTTGCAGGGAAATCACTGATATACATATACTGAACAAAAAGGAGAGCGATGAAATTGTGGTAATCAAGTGTCGTACGATACACATTACGGTTCAAAAACGTATAAAGTCCAAGTGAGAGGTAACAATGTTATTTCAGTACAAATTCTGACATCCATTCCAATGTTGTTCGTTTTGGTGTTCAAATTAAATGTTGCCTCGACGTTCGGTCGTTGTCATTTTTTAGAACTGTAACAGGTCATGCCCAAATGCATTTTGCGAATACAATAAGAAAAAAATTCGCACTCATCAACAGCGATTACGATTATACAAGTGATTACGATTTTGTCTTGATGCAACAAAAATCCAACGAAAATGAAAAATATTCAATGTTTCTTTCATGTTCACATTGACACACGAGAATTGCTCGCATTTTTTTACTCACAACCGTTGCCGAAAACAGTTGTTGCAGTCAATATTTCGCATTACAAAAATTTTATCTCGTAATTTGAACAAAAGTTGAACGGGAGTTGACATTGTAATTTCATTTTTGTGATCAAATAAAAGAAAGAAGATTCGCACAATTCGAAATGAGAAAGTAAAAAATAGTTTGGTAAAATGTCTCTCATCCTCTAAAAAGATAGGTTGAGATTCCTTTGAATTGCTTCGTAAACACAATTCCACTCCGTTTAATTTTATTTTGTGTTTTTTCTTTTCCACTGAATTGACTGACACAAACAACTCGAATGCAAGACATGAAATCGAAACAAATGTAAACACGTCCTACCGACATTCCAACATATCGCCTGAATGCGCGCTTATTTGTTTCGATTCTGCTGTAAATTGCCTTACTATATTCGTTTTTCATTTTAGTTGGTGTGAAAGTGTCTTCACGGACCAATTATTTCTTTATACTTATTTAATAAATCGATAATTTCGAGACCTTATTTTATTATTATTTCCACAATGAATCTCAATTTTCAAATCGAAAATTAATTACAAATATCGTTTTACAAATTGATTGTTTTACATAAAAGCTGGTCATCAGAGAGCGGATGCTTTCGTCCTATACACACAGATCCCATGCATGAGGCAATAGCTATAAAGCTGCAACAGCGTTAATCATGATTCTTTATGTATAATTGAAGCTGCATTAAAATAGAGCCGCCACAATAACAGCGTTTACATAAAGAAATAAAAAAGGTAAGAGAAACTGCACGAAAATTCATGGCCCAAAGTCTTGATGTCAATCACTTGCCACTTTCGGTACTTTGTATTCAGGGAAGAGGCTGTTTTGTTTGACGTTTTCAATATTGATGATGCACTTCATTCGAAAAGTTTCGTGATCCACATCGCAAGGTGTTATTATCTTCGCACATAATGCTTTTCCAATACAGTTAGAAGCATGCGTATATTTTGGAGATAACAATGTCTTTATAATCGAATTAACTTTAAAAGTATACAATTTTTCTTCGTTGCAAGAATTACGGAAATGTTCAGTATTTGAAATCGATGATAACAAAAGTCTTTCAATATTTATATTGAACATTAATTACAGTTGTTCCAATCTAAAAAAAAATAAGTCGCGCTTCAAATTACCATAAAAACCAGCACCGAAATGATATATCCAATTTATAGTATGTTTTTGTGTGTGTGCTCTTGCGATCTCTCGTACTCGTCCCGTTTTTGCACCCCTGATTTATTTCATTCATTTCTGTTTTCGTTCCGTTCCATTCCGTTCTGATTTTTGGTTTTATTTATTCCGCTTGAGCAGTTGAATTAATGATTTGATATTTTATTTTAATCTTAAACTTTTGCTCGATGTTTTTTTTTATTCTTCAACATTTCAACAAAGACGATCTCCATTCAACTTACCGTATACGTATATTTTGCATATAACTAAAACGTGGAATGACGTAGCAACTTACGGTGGATTTTATTAAATGCAATTAATTTTTTAAGGGAATCTGTGGAAAAAGTGAATCAATTTACAATCCAGTGAACTTAATTGTATTTGAATGAACATTTATTTTATGCTGACCCAGTAAGAGAGAAAAAAGAATTGACGACGACAAGGCAATGATGGCGGTGAATAATTGCTCTTCAAAGAGCAACATTTATTGAGATCGTTTCGTTTCGTTTTGTTGTTTTTACATGTTTTACCTCTGTATGTTGTTGCTTTGTATTTTGTCAGATGATATTGTGGTTTGTTGATTGAAATGCCGAATTGAAAAGAATGTGCCAAATCAGTGTATGTGCAGTAGCAAAACACTCTCACACAATTACGCTAAATGCAAGCTTCTCTTGACCTATTCGAGCGGTCGGTCAACGTGAAATTTTTTCCCACTTTATAAGCGTATACGCTTTTCCCACTTTATTATAATTACATTTTTTTTTCACATTTTCATTTAATTGAAATCAATTTAGAGTAGATGCATTGATTTTTTTTTTAATGCTGTGTGGTACTCTGTCCGGATGCCGTTCTCCTTGTTGTGACCTAACGAAAATTTTCGGCTTAATGTGAGGAATTTTATTGAACGTTGGCATATCATTTATATTAATCGATTTTAATTTAATTTAAATACATGGTGCAACTTTTCCATCGTTTCGATCTTTTTTTTTCGTTTTTTTTTTTAATTTCAGCAAACGAGTAGATGAAGTTATTACATAAATGATAGAGCCATTTTATAGAAGGAAACGATAAAACTGAAATTTAGGATTCAAAAATTCGTTTATTGCATATTTTGCTTAAGAAATAAATTTGATTGAATATGTGCTTTTGAAGAATCGTCATTTATTTATTATTTAAAAAGATGCGTGTTTTTTTGTTCATTTTAAACTTTTAATGTGGATTACGATCTTATCTGAAGGGACTTTTTTGCTAGATTTTTCGAATAGTTAAGCTAAGAGAGAAACATTTGGTTGTAATACTGCAAATGTTTTCCAATCGGATTGGAACGTAGGTGTATTTTTTTAATTATGTTTTTTTTTTTTTTAACTTATGATATATATTAACCTATAAAATTCAAAATCGAATATATAATACGGGGGGTTTTGGTTGGATTTTTCTTTTTTAACACTTATAGCCTAAGCACGCTTTATAAGGAATTTCTATAAGTAAAATCATAAAAATAATTGAAGCAATCAAATTAATTTAAAAAAAAATTATATGATAGAATTTGCTAAGATGAATTTGATTCGATATTCTACTTTACAAACTATTTAATTAGATATCCCCCGTTTCTATATAGAATGACGAGAGAACATTCTACCTCGAAAAACTTATGGTCAATTAATATTAATGCCTTTGGTCTATTCATTTATTTACTTCAAAATTTTATTAATTCTTTCTCCCTTCTTTTTACCAAGCAAATGCTCAATTTACTTCGTGCAGGTATGTAATATGCTCAGAGAATATTTAATGTTTTCGTAGAATATTTGGATTGGGTTATGGATTTTGTCAAGTGTTTTATGTGCACTGTGCAATTGTCCGCATTCGTTTATATTATATCGTTTAAATTTAAAATACCAAATACCCTTATGTGGCATTGAAGTTTAAAGAAAAAGAATATATAAAAAAGAAAATATAATATTAAGGAGATGAATTTATTGTGCTCTAAAGCTCCTGAATCATGTTCATATATGTTTAAATATAATGTCATGAGATATATCCGTTTTATATGTGTGAATTATTATTATCTTTATCAATGTATTCGTGATATATTAGAGTGTGAATTTTCGTTTCAATTTTATCTCAACCAGTGCAATTTCGACAAAACTAAGTTTATTACAAAATTCATTATAAATTTTATCTTAATATTTTACTAAAAACAAATGATTCAACATTGATATTTACATTACAATGAGAAAAAAAGATGTGTAAAACTTTTTAAATTGAAACTTCAACGGCTTCGTTGTTGTTAATAGGCTCTTTATCAACGACAATGTCAGCGTCAATATCGCTTCCGTCTTCCATTTCACCTCCTTCAGCTGTCGCTACACTGCTTGGAGTGTAGAGTCCTTCCGAATAAGTTACTTTCCCAAAAAATTGACGAAATTCATCGAAACAGTTTTCTTCGGGCTCTAATTCATTCGAAGATGGAGAATCACCAGCTCCCATACCCAAACCATTCACATCGCTTTCATGCTTCTTCAAATGGCGATCTAAGTTTGTTTGTTGTCCAAAGCATCTCTCACATAAATGGCATCGATATGGCTTTTCCTTATTGTGAATGTTACGAACATGTCGTTGCAAGTTACTTGAAATACTAAATGATCTTTCACAATATTTGCATTGATATGGTTGTTCGCCGGTATGTGTACGCAAATGTCTTGTCAAATTAGCCGATCTTGGAAAGACTTTGGCGCAAAATTTGCACGCATAACGATCTTTATTTTTTGCACCATTATGATGACTATTTGACAAACCAGTTGCAAATCCACCAGCTGCCATCAACACATCATGAAAAGGTTTATTAAAGGCTGTACCATTATTTAAAATATCAACGGGACGTGTTAAATGACCTAAAAAAGGGAACGGACGCTGAAATCCACGTTGTTGATTATAAAATGCTTCCAATAAAACAGGATGAATTGGTCTTGGATAAGCCATGGGTGGATTTGGAGGTGACGGTGATAGGGGTTCTGGAGATGGTGATGGTGTCGGTGAAGCGTGAAACAATTTTCCTTTCGGCTCATCCACTATTGGCGATCCACTTTCGCTACGCTTTGAACTCTTGTTCAATGACAAATCAAGCGGTTGCTCTGCAGTTGTTGAAATATCCTGAGAAACGAGCCAAAATAAATAAAGGAATTTAGCAACGTTTGCAGAAAATTAAGAATGAACTATTAATTAACTTGATTCAGTATAATTACCTTTTCATCTTCATCGGATAACTTTCTTTGTTTCGGTGGTGAATTGTATTCGGAATCAGAATTACCTAGTGTTCTCTTGGATTCATTTTTCATTGTCAGATTTTCAATGCTTAAGAAAGATTTCGAGCGTGTACTGCGACCCTTTGATGACGGTGAATTGCCGTTTACAACATAACTATCTTCGTTGCTATTCTTCTTTGAGCTGTTATTATTGTTGTTATGGTTTTTCAAAGAATGTTGCATGCCAATTGAGATTGGAATCGGGCGGCTTGGTGATGGTCTTAAATGATTTGAAGCTTCTTCAGCTGTTGGTGGTGATACTTTGATTGAGCCATCTTGAGTCGATGACAATGATCGAACTGGAGTTTTGCTTTCAGGCATTGGCCGATCCAATGGATGTGGAAACAACAATGGGAATGGCGCTTGTGCTGCATTGTTTGGAAAAATACGCTGCCAATCCGGATACGGTGGAAAACCGGGAAAGAATTGTGCCGAACCTGGCAACATCAAGAATGGATTGGGACGTGAAGCCATTGGTAATTGTGGAACCGTTGATCCCAAAAACGATTGACTTGAATGCGTTGAACTAGTTGGTGGTGTTGAAAGCGAATTTGAATGTTGTTGAGGTGCTGTTGACTGTGGAACCGAAGTTGTATCACAAAATCGCTTATGTTTTGATAACGATGTGACTGTACTGAAACTTTGAGTACACTTCTGACACTTGATTTGCATGCGACAATCTGCGTGCATGCGTTTGTGACGACACAAATTCGAGAATTGAGTGTACGCTTTGAAACAGACTTCACACTGAAACGGTTTTACAGATGAATGAATGTGTGTATGCTGTTTACGACCAGATTCCGTAGCAAATGTTTTGCCACATTCACCGCACGGATAAGCACGGGCACCTTTATGCCGATTACGAATGTGCCGTTGCAAATTAGATGCGTCAGTGAATACCTACAGAAAAAATAGTCAAGAGATCAACAGAAAAATTATTAAACATATTACTTTTCATTTTTTATAAATATTCATAACAATGGACATCGCACAGTTCATTAGATTAAAAGAAAATACAGAAACGTGCAAATACCAATTATTTTAAAAAAACACAATCGATCAATCTTTATTGTTGAAGTTGACAACATAGCAATTTTGCATTTATTCATGTGTTCAATATGGAGCGGTTATAATGCAAGATGAAACAATCATAACTAATCGAAAATGTGTCTTTTACTGTCAAAATTGCGAAACAGACACAGCTTCTGTCATATGCCACAATAATAACAAACCGAAAGAGAAACAAATTCACTAATATAAACTTAGCTATGAATTTTGTATCTAAGGCACGCACCAAAATCTTCGATTGTTGATGTTTATTTTCTATTGGTTCATCGATTTCATTTTCTTCTTCTCCTCTTTCGACAATGTTTTTTCTGTGAAGGTAGATTGATTTTTTCAAAACCGTTTCTGTGAAAATGATAGTTCGTCTAAAGCGAATATATTGATCGCCGTAATACCGCCAGATCCAATTTTTTGATTATTAACTGACCTATTTGTTCAATGTATGTTTGTTCAATACTTTTTACCAATTTGGTATCCATTGTTAATAGGCTCATTTTTGGTGTACTTTATTTGTAACTAAATTCATTTAGACGGGTGCACTTAAGATTTTTTTGTTGTTGTAAAGGTGTTGTCAAGTTACAATAAAACGTATGCGGTTATCAAGGTTACATATCAATTTAGCTCAGCAAATTTTCAAAAATAATAAAGACAATCTGTCAGTTGCAAACAGTTTAAAGGTTGTTACAATTTGTGCTCAATTAACTCAATCATGATACTCACGAATTTCACTACTAGTGACTCCGAATATCGTTCGCATCCATAACAATGAATACATGCTATACCTATGTCTAGAACTGTGCCGGACATGTATGGCGTGACATTCTGACAATATTTTCTCATTTTAAAAGAAATCAAACAGCTACTTATGAAGTTGTTTCCTTGATTTGGCTACATTTCGATCACTTTGGATTATCCATATAGGAGCATTGTATTTCGCGCAATGCAAAAACGACAACTTTTCACTTGTATAATATAATCGATGTAAGAGTAAAATTATCACCTTCCTTTAATCGAATCAAAAACGTTGGGCTTTTCAGTTTTCATTTTCGATCTGCTGTCACAAATACAACTGTTTTTTTTTTTCGCTTCATTCATCAACATTCAAGTGATAATTATGTATATTAAGTCCAATTGTATTTAAGGCATACATTTTTTTAAAGATATTTTCAAGTGGAGCACGAATATATTTTGAATGTGCAGAAGAATACATACGATGCATGCGCCAAATAACATCAAAGTTTGACGAAGAACCGGAATGACACGCATTCGGCGTTCGCATTAAATCGAATGGAAACACAGAGAATTCGAGGATTAACCAGCTTTTTTAAAGAAAAACTTGGATAAATGGTAAGTCAACATTTCTGAAATGACATTTAATGGTTAAACCATCAATTAAATTTGTGCATTTTTCTCACTTTCAACGAGAAAATTGGCCATTATGTGCGCGCTATTACTTTTCCGCACACACCGAGTGTGTAAGGGGAAAGTATTGCAATGGGTAAAAATTTACGACATCTTAAAAACATGTTTTTTTTACGTTTTCGAGCCCATAGAACCCGAATCAAAAAAAATCCAAATTTCTCTGACTTTTTTATGAAAAGTGTTTCAAAAATAGTTTTTATGGCAAAATTATGGTCAGACATATTTTTTATAGCGTTTTGTTAGAAAATAGAATACTTTCAAATGTCATACAAATGGGATCATCATGAAAGTGTGAAAAATCTTTTGCGAGTACTTCTGCTATTAAATTAAAGAATATTTTGATGCCAAAATTTGAACATGTTTTTTGGCCTCTAACTTAACGCCGCTTGGAAGGCTTGAAAAATGGAACAAATATTTATTTGAAGTAGCTTAACAAAATACCACCGTCCGGAAAAGTTCGTCTTACTCCTGTAAGACTCTTTATTTTTTTACATAATTGAGGTTGGTGTTGTATGCGCGATTCTCCAAACTCATTATTCGGTATATTAGTACATGAGAAAATATAAAGGCATTGCATGGTTTGACAGTTGAAGTGAAACGAAGCACAAGAAGATGGAATAAGATCATTGCGTATTGAATAAACAATAGTTCTTCAGGCTGAAAAGTAACAACACACAAAAACTCGTTGCAAAGAGAAAGAAGATAAGCACGTGTTGTGTTAAGAAAATAAATGTGAAGCTTCGCGTTTCTTTTTTAAAACAGTTTAGTTAAAACAACAAACAAAATTTGTAGCGGATTCCCTCTGGGTGATTTTCAAAATATCTTATCTCGATTTTTTTATTTTTTTTGAATTCTTTGCTTTTAACGGAAGAAAAACCAAACTTTCATTATCTTTTGATCTGTGCATAAATTGAAATTAAAACTAAACTTCAAGTGGGAAAAAAGGCCGAAAATGGCAGGTATCAGATTTACGAGGTGTTTTTTATTGCAATCAACGCACATGGTGACCGCTTATCGAGTCCACAGATTTTTTTATTTTCATTTCGTAATTGTTGTTGGTTTCATATTCACTGTTCAATATTATTTTTTTATTTTGCGGCTTGAAAATTGACTGGAAACAGATCAACCATGAGATCAGTGTGTGGCTATGTACTGAAAAATAAGTAGCATAACATATCATTTATGCTACTTGACACTGTACGTACTCCAATATCACCCATTTTTTGGCCGCTAAATTCTCAGCACATTGACTAATTCGTGGTATTCCGCTGCGAATCCATTCAATGTGTTAGCGTTGTGGAAACGTTTAAGCGAAACACGAATGGAGAACACACGCTCATAGCTGCGGCTGTCGGCTATTTTGTACCATGCAATAAATATATTTTCCTTCTACATTTTTTCGGGTTTGGCATAACGAAAAAATTTAATAATTATCACAGCATGATATCGATATAAATGTTATTAATCCTGTTGAGCATATAAATTTTTCAGATTTAATAATTTATATGAACGCTATAGCCACAATTGGTAAAAGTTATGAAGAAAACAACCAACGATACGCAAAATGAAATTATTATTCATTTGAATGTGCGAATTATACGGGTATTTATAAAATCTTAAAAAACACAAGTATATTGATTCAGGTTCTTTTCCACTGTATGTACTCAATGCAAGAAGACTTTCTTGTTGTTTAATGTTTATAAATATTTTTTTATAGGCGCAAATGTCTTAAAGAATTACTTCTTATATGCTTCTGTATCTTGGTTAATCATTAAGCCTTGCTCGGTTTTAGTGAGACCTCTGGCAAGTCAAGTGTTGAAAAATGGTTTATTGTTTTGTTGCTTTTTTTGTCGAAAATTGTGAAATGAATCGTGATTGTTTACATTCTACCGTAATTAAAATGAAAAACTCGATACAATTCTTCCAATTCCTCGTCGAATATTATATTTATATTTGGTTTCAAGATGAATGCCCGTTGCGATGATGAGATGGATTATAAGAAAATTGATCGTCACGCGAAAGACTTCATCATTTGTTTTCGTATGTTTTGGCATTGTCGTTGAAGGTGTCATTTTTTATTTGATCAAAGTTAATTGTTTTCATGAAGGTCCGTCTTTAATACGGATGTATAGGAAGATCAATGAAATAAATCAATCACAATCATATGTATATACATATGAAAATCTTGTTACATGTTCAAATTGATTAATCCAATTACAACGCCTACAATCACGTTCCTCTTACTAATGTCCAAAACATTTTTAGTAACTGGTTTGTGTTTTTTTGTCGATTCATCTACTCCAGGCGATCACCTAACACTTTTGACCAGACACAATAAGTTATGCGATGGCAGCTCACAAATTGTCCATAAAAAATGTCTCCGGTTTCTAAAACAAGATCTTCCACGCGTGCATGCAACTCAAATATCTCCCTTTCTCTTTCTGTCTCTTTCGCATCGTCAGTCAGGCTAATGTTTCTTGTCTTCATTTCTTATTATGTACAATAAATGATTCTTCAGCATTAAAATTGAAAATAATCGAAATAAATGGAGTAAAAATAAAATCAACTTTTTTTACCCATTGAATGAAAAAACTAGACATTCATAGAATTGAGACCAAATATAGTAGATTTAATCGAAATGTGTGATCCCACACGGCGATTCCACGCGTATCAAAAACAATCGAAAAATTGATGAAAACAATCTGATCCCATTTCGAGAAGTTCAGCAAATCGATTTTTACGCAAACGATCATTAATAAAGTCTGTGTAAGTAATCAGATACATTTAGCAAGACCTAAGACAATAAACGAAACACAATTTGTGGTAATTCTTCTCTTTTCTTCATATTCATTGATTTCTTTTTTGCTATGCATCGAACATGTTTTCGATTGTTCAAGTACAATTTCCCTTTCTCATTCCAGCTTAATTAAAGAGACAATAATGGTTAAACGCAAATGAAATGAGAAAGATGCCGATCACAAAGTCGAAGTGAACTCGAGCCGAATGCAAACACGAACGAGACGTCATAAGTCAAAGAGAGAAAGAAAATATACGCCACGCACAAAAAATGTGTGCACGCTCAAGTGCTCGCCCATTAATTTACATGGTGAATTTATACCGTTTATTTACACAGAAGAAACATCGAACCAACAGAAAAAAAATTATTCAATCGTTTAAAATTTAAAGTACAGAGTAGAGAGACGAAAAACAAACAACTTTTCTTTCTTGGTTTATTACAAATTGATCGATTTAAACCCGAATTACGTTTTAATTTTTTTTCGCTTTTTCATCCAATTTACTCTTTTTTGCTGAAATTTTTCATGGCAACAAAAAAATTCTGCGTTCACGTACACATTCACGAGATTCAGATCAAATGTCACCATAAACACCACAATGATACACGAATATTATCACGATTTCATGACAAATTCATCTCGTTTTATTTGTTCGCATATTTTATTTAACACTAATCAAATGTAATCATATAAAGCAAACGGAACAAACTTTTCTAGTAAAACCGAAATTGAAATTATTATTATTTATAGTGCCTGATTGCGACAAATAACGATGCCTGTTTTCAATGCTGTGAAGAACACGAAAAAAATGATGAAAAAAGCAACAGTTTCAGACACTTATCGTCCATAAATTTAAAGTCAAACGAAAAAAAATTTGCATATGAAAGGTTGCATACACATCTCGAAGGAGCCCAACAAATGATTTGTTATTTTTTGATTTACATCGCAAGGATGCGGTCGCGCATGCAACATAATATTGAGCAATGATTTTCGTTTTCAAAAAAAGCATCCAAATGCTTCAACACACGATTTGTACCATGAAATTTTGCTTTCGTTTTGATTGGTTAATATTGAATGTGACACCAGAGCAAAATTATGATGCCGTCGCGCCGATTGCCAGTTTATAATGGTTCATAAATACACAGACTTGAGTTACTCATTTAGATTTATAGCATTGGTTTGTTGTCTAGTCAATCCATGTGCATGGATTTTACTTTTTTTAGTTCATTTTGGTAATATTTTCGGAAGTCTATTCATAAATTGAAAATTTGCTTAAAATTTAGTTTTCCATTTATTAGAAAAAATTTCTGAATCGAATACTTAAGTAAAGCGATGTCATTTTTATAACATATAACAGCACGATTTAGTTTGGATGAAATCGTTCGTGTTCATCTGATTTTTGTCATCTATGTATTCTTGCTGTTGGCTTTTTCATTTCTACAGAAAATGAAAGACGTGAAAAAATCATGCTTTAAATAACAGCCTTTGGAAAACACGTGTCACACTCGAATTAACGTTATAAATTTACATGAAGATGGCGTGAATAAAAACGGCTCCATGAAAACCACAATTCGAATAATCGGAATTGTATTTTTTATTGAAAATAAATGTATCGAAATAAAATGAAAATAAAGAGTCTTACGGGAGTAAGACGAACTTTTTCGCACGGTGATAGACGCGTATTTTATTAAGCTATTAAAATAATATTTGTTCGATTTTTCAAGCCATTCAAGCGGCGTAAAGTTCGAGACCAAAAAATATGTTTCAACTTTGGCATCGAAATATTCTTTAATAGCAGAAGTACTCGCAAAACACTTTTCACACTTTCATGATGAACCCATTTCTACGACATTTGAAAGTATTCTACTTTCTAACAAACTATATAATATAAGAAAATATGTCTGACGTTAATTTTGCCATAAAAATTATTTTTGAAACACTTTTCATAACTGAAGTCACAAAAAATTTGGATTTTTATATGTGAGCCATGTTTGTATGCTACCTTTAAATTATCTCTTATACAAAAAAATTCGTTTTTGAGCCAAAAATTAGAAATTTTGTATGGGAGGTACCCCTAATTATGATTGAAATATCTTCTTTATTATTTTGTATAAAAAATAGTCTGTGCAAAGTTTCATGTCATTAAGGTAGCATACAAGCATGACTCCCATACAAAAATTCAATTTTTTGTGATTTTTTCAAGGCAACTGTATCAAAAATTGATTGTATCTCAAATTTAACCTCTGATTCGGTTTTCTCGTGCCAAAAAATCGCCTAATACATATTTTTGAGTGTTTAAGTCAACATTAAGTATGACTTTTGGACGAAAATTGAACTCTTTTTCATAGGTATCACTCCAGGCATAACATTTTTTTCCATCAACCAAAGTCGCTCAAAATCTAATGATTTCTATTCCTCGCGTCCCCAATCATCCTGTACAGTCAGATTTTAAATAACTTATCTGGGGGTGAAATAATCGATGGACAAATTTTGCGTACGGCGGACAACGTACGACGTGGAACAGACCCACAACAACCATGCTCAAAACGGCCTGATTCGGGTTCACTAACCTCAGAAACGTCCAGAAAACATGTTTTTGAGATGTCGAAAATTTTGACCCATTGCAATACTTTCCCCTTACACAATAGGTGTGCGCGGAAAAGTAAAATGAGAAAGAATTCCTGTTTTAGTGCAACCATTACGGTAATCAGTATAAAAACAGTTGTGCTATGGTGTTGAATAATCATGTCGACGTGTTTCCAACAGATATGTCTTTTTTCGTGCTTGTCAGTTACTTAATCTCTTCTATGAATTGAACTCTTTTTTCTCTTATGTACAATTGTACAATGAGCACACGATTCATTTTCGTAAGGAGAGATCGTCTTTCGTTTTCATATGTGTCGACATTCAGTTCAAATCGTTTTTCGTAGCCCAAATATACTAGATTCAATAGAAAATGCTGTGCATATTACTTTTGATGAAAGGTTAGACAGTGAACCAACATCGATAGATTCATTTCCCTTTCGATTGAAAAATGCAATGAAATCTCAATTGTGGAATATTTGAAAGCGAATTTTCGATTTTAACACCAAATTCTTCACGACAAACATAAATAACTCGTGCGAATGAAGGTAAATCAACACGCAATCGATACGGAAAATGATACCAAAGTTTTGATCAATTTCGCGCGCCGTGTTGATTTTCCGATAAACGATTTATTTATTGGCTTCGGATAGCAAGATAGATCTCTTTTTGCTTGTAGTTGAGTATGAGTACGTTTAAAATATGTAAATTGTTTTAAAATTTAAATCAAGATTTATGGGCGCAAATATTTTGCATCGTATGAGAAAGATAGAAGGCTTACGATTTGGTTGAATTGCGCAAAAAATATTCCACATATTTGATCAAAAAATCGATTAAACACTACATGCTACGTATGGTCTCAGCCGCAGCTTCGTCTTTTATGTGGAGCTAATTCCCTCTTTTACACACCGATTTTTCGCACATCGTTTTTTTTATTGATTCTCAATTTTACAGCGGCATTCGGTGAGTTTATGTGCCGTTTGTAATAAGTTCTTGTGGCATTTTACCTTAATTCCCACACAAAATCAATTCAAAAAAATTCTTATATTTTCTGACTATATGAGTATTGATTTCTTGGTCAAGCCAAACACACGATAAAAATTTAAACATACATGCTCATAAACACGAAATTAAAGTCTGATTTTTATCACCTATCAATTGATACTTTGTACGCACATTTACATGTTGCGAAATCCGTACGTTTTTGAAAAAAATATATCATTTGTAACAGTAAGAAATCTAATCCATGTATCAAAATGACAATTTATTGCACTTACCTTTGAGCAATTTTCACAAGGAAACCTCCGAATCTCACCGTGTTGTAAGGATCGGTGTCGTAGTAATGATGGGCGAAAGCAGAAACCTTGCGAGCAAATTTCGCAACGAAAATCGTCTTTTTTATAGTTGTGACACAAAACTAAATGATTGTCAAGTCTAAATTGAAAAAATAAAAAAAAATGTTTAAAACATAATAGTCAATATAGGGTAAAGTGGGGTGTGTTAAGTGTTTTTTACAGTTGCATTTCATGTAGATGCGATTAATATTTAATGAATGTTTGTGTGATTTTAGCATGTCAAAAGTCATTAATATCAAATAGATTTTCCATTTGAAAAAGAATAATAGAATTTGATGTAGAAAAATGCGAGTTGCAAGCGAAATGTTTTGTGTGTCTTCATTTCATATATGGACACAGTCATGCATATTTTATTCAACGGCATTCATCATTAATTTACATCAAACACTCAACAACTCTACATGATTTTATTTAAATCTTTCACACCGAACGTGATTAAAGCAACAGATATGGAATTTATTAAGGCCAATTTAGTTTCGCGTTTTCATGCACTTCTGATTTTCCTTTTAATTTCGATGTTCATAATTGCAGTGTAAAGCATTCAGAGGATTCTCAATGGTCAATTGACACGCGAAGCGACGCTATTCATTATTTGATGACACAAATTTTCAAACCACTTTCACGAGCATGTATTTGTGATTCGATGAAAATGACAACGTAAAAGAAAAAAACTAATACATATCGCATACATATGATTACAAATTTAGTTTGATACGTTCAAAGCAAATTCAAGCGATATTCTATTCAATGCCGACGAAAAATTATTCAATGGATAGTCATTACGCCGTTTATATTGCATTTTTTGTTGATTTGAAAAAAGTTCTTTTTGCTCATATTTAGGCCGTTGCACTATTTAAAAAGTTGATGAATATTAGTTCAACAAAGAGCGATTATATACATTGATTGAATATTTGCTGTACTTTGAATTAAAATAGAATGGATTGAACTTTACCGCATCATTTTTTGTTGTTGTTGTTTTGTTTTTGTGCTTTCTGGACGCCTCAGTCGCAAAAATGAACTATATTGTATCAAAATTATATTTGTTACAAATCAACGTTTGCGTGGGTCATGTGAATAACGACCATATGGCACAATATACCAGAAAACAGACAATCATGAAGTAACATTTAAAAAAACGCTCGTGTACACAGACAAGCTTAAAAAAATTCAGCTGTCTTAATTTGTCAACACTCTTGAATCGAACGAACAACATATTCATATTTTAATTTATCTGAAAATCATTAGATTGATCGATAATCTAGTTTGTAAATTTGAAAAAAAAATCTTTTATAAGAGCTTTAAATTTTTAAAAGCATTCAATTACACGCACATCAGATTTTCATCAAGACCGTTCATGAAAAAAAAGACGAATGCAATGTTCTCGACTATTGAAATTATTACAAGAACGTTTGATGTGTATGAATACTTTAATAGAACAACAATGAAATTATATATATTACCTACAGGGGCGTATCCAGGGGGGTATTGGGGGTTCTTGCTAAGTGAGCCTTTTTCTCTTGCAATGATATAGAAAGGGGATGTGTTTTGGAAATATTTCATGAATCTACATGGCAACAAATTGTTGCCAACAATATAATTTCCAGATTTGAGAGTTTGTAGAAATTAAAATGCTTTTGAAGATGTATCTCTATTTGAATATTCTTGTATGAGAATCTTCTAGAGAATTTACAAGAAGCAAAAGAAATACTTTAAAAGTAGTGACTTCAGCCGCTCGAACCAACGAGTTTCACAATATTTTTGCAGTCGCTTTATCAAATTTAATTGTTAAATTCATTAACAGCTTTATTTAAATAGTCTTCTCGATATTTGAAGAAAAAAAATAGAAGAATGTTTTTGTAAGATCTGTTGAACAAAGATCAATTTATACTATTTTATACTGTTTTTTTTTATACGTTGACTTTTTCGAAAACCCCACCTGTCATGAAGTTCTGGATACGCTCCTGATTACCTATTAGTAGGCCATTTGAATCGTTTTACATATGAGCACCTTTGCTTCACAGTTGGTGACAATGTGTAATGAGAACACATCATGCTACCAAGAACGCGAATGAATGCAAATAGAGAAAAGCCGTAGCATGTGAAATAGCGGCCGCACACATACCGTTCCAATTATTATGAGAGAGTGAAAAAAGTAAATAATTTGTGCGTTTTCGATATTAATTTATTGCCATTCTACGGCAACAAAGAGAAAAAACATATTTGTATACACAGTTTATTTGTAATGGGTTTATCGAAAGCAGCAGGCATTCACGAAAAAACCTTCAAAAGAGCATCCAAACAGTCAGTCATTTGTATCAAAATGCTTTGATTAGATACAGTAGAGGTAGTCATAGTTGCAATTATCCATTAATTGTACCTCAGCGTCTTTTGAACAGATGATAATTATTATCGAATAATTATTACTTACGAGAGAAAAAAATAATAATAAATACATTTGGAGATTTCAAAATTGATTGAATGTGCGTGATCGTTTCGTTTGGATGAACCAGCGTGATGTGACGATGTGAATATTTTAGCGAGCAAATATCACACAATCATTTCCATTGCACACACAGTGCTGAGCGCACTGTCGATGTCGTTTGTTTAAATGGCGAACGAAAACGAATAAAAAAAATCACATCAAAAACACAAAAAGCTATGGCTTGTAAACATAAACGCACCGTACGCGACAATATGTAAATATAGTGCCAGTATTTGTCAGTATGGCTTAATGTGAAACGTGGGACCGTACTTCTTAGAAAAACAAACCATTCGATATTCAAATTTTGAATTTTTGAGTGAAGAGTCACAAATCATTTGTAATAAAATACACCTTGAATGTTGACTTTGCCAAAATTGTGTTAATTCGCATATTACTGATATAGGTTATGTATATTCTATTATTCCTCAATGTAATCAACTACGTGTTACATTGAGCAATAGTAAAATACTCAATTTATGATATGTCGCACATTAACAACTTCAACTGGAACAGCATAGCAATCTTATTGCGGCACAAACTGTAATTAAAAGCATTCATCGCAATTATTATGTATTGACAGTGAATGGGATTCAGAGCAATTTTGCGTATATAAACTGTGTTTATATTGTGCGTATCTAATTTTGTTCGAGCGATGTGCTTAATGTGTCTACTTCAAAGGCTGTCACTAGATATCGATTCGTATTTAAGTCTGTTTAAGGGTCATTTTTCTAAACGGTACAATTAATTGGCAAAATACAATTGAAAGGTATGTAAACTCCCAGACGGTGTTTTCGTATTAATCATATCATATAGAGTATTTCCTCGTATGTTCACTAGATTTATGAAAATCCTATCAGCAAACATACCACCGCCAAGAACAACAACTACAAAAAATCAAGCACTAGGCAAGATAACAAGGCCATGCATTGTAATTATATCACGAAAAAAGTGTTTTGTGTTATTGAAAAGGATGCATTTTCTTGCGGGGAAAGCCAATCGATTTGACAGATATGACAAACGGGTTATTAAAACGTTTTTCTATCCACAACCCACATAAATCACACAGAAAAAATTCCACACATTTCAATTAACCACACCGAAAAATATGTTTTCGAATTTTTTTTGTCCTCGATGTACATGCGACTATATTCGAAGTTCAATCCCTTTGTTTGATGTGTATGTATACAAATATCATGTTTCAATTGATTCTCATTGTCATCAAATGAAATGTTTGAGTCCTACTGAAGTATGCTATTATTTCCACTATCAACACGATTAACATCATTAGTTCGGTGAGAAAAAATAACTAGGAAATTATTGTTTATTGTACGTGTTTGACGATTTATTTAACATTTGGTGAATAACAATTTATTACCATACATATACATACACTATAGTAATTTAATGAAATTTTTGTTTGATTTTCAGTGTTTCTGCTTTTTTTTTGACTATCATTCATTTTGGTTACATCGATTGGAAAAATGTTGTACATTCAGATTTTTTGAGAATTAAAAAAGTAGATATAAATTGTACTTACTGTTCGAGATCAGCACACAGCCTTTCGCAGTCTGGACACTGGAATTCAATTCGTGTTTCGTCTTCACTTTCTGGATCTGCGTCAATTGATATATTTAAATCACATTTATTACTTTGTAGATCGTTAGCTGTACCAAAATCTTCTTCTATAGCGCCACTGTGTTGTGAGCCTGAAAATGTTCAAAATCAAATTATAAATTCATTATTATTATTGTTGATTGAATGCATAAAAAGTATTTCGTTGAGACAATTATTGTAGCCCAAATCATGTATTGACGTCACTAAGTGCTGTTCACTCATGTGATTACAGTCAAACCAAAAATAAATTTGGACGAAAAAACACCATGCTGACAACCTTCATTCACTTGAGCTTTGGCGTATACAAAGATAGTTTTAAACCAGAACTTGTATAAATGTTACATTTTAAATTGCAATAACTCAATATTTATTTGCTTGCATGTGAGCATTTTCTCAAAATAAAATCAGCTTGTTGAAATCATTCGTACGATCGAATTTTCAAAAATCTTGCCTCATGGAATCTCCTCGAACCGAATATAAAAAAAGCCGAGGAAAAGCAGAAAAAATACCAAACACTTTTGGTTAATCAATCATCATTATCATCTGGCTTTCGATTTTGCATAAACAAAATGTAGAAGTAGATTAAAATGAAAGTAAAAAAGCGGACCCATGAGAATGAAACTTGCCGCCCGAAAGGTGTATAAATTGATCTGAGTTTTTTTTTAGCAAGAGCTGGTTTTGTCCATTGGAAATTTTGTTCATGACGCTCTCTTTCCTTTTATTTTTCGTTTCTTTTGTTTTACATTATTTATACAAACTTAATCGAGTTTCGAAGCCGCTTCTTTGTCGTCGACATTCAAAAATTTATAAAAATGAATATTTCATTTTTTAAGAAAAGAAAACCAAGCAAATTCGGCAGCTCAACGATGTGTTCATATATATTTGGAGAGATATATTTATATATGATCGGTTCAGCGTTATTACATTTGATTTAATTTAACTCACTTCTTTTGGTTGCCTGTTGTAAAACTCGACTATAGGCCCTTTGCATGCAAAATTCACACACAAATCTTCAGATACTTTGTTAAAATTTCATCGATTCAACTCTTTTTTGGCTTTAGTTACAATTCTTCGAAGCCGCAAGGTTGAATGATATAAATCAAAAGTTCTGATTTAAATTAATCATTAAGACGAAGAAATAGCTTCATAAATCATATGAGTTTATTTTTTAATTTTACATTTACTCGTGTTCGCACAACATTTTTGCATGTTATTTATATATGATCGATCGTTTTGTTGTTGTTCAAGTTTACGATCAGAATTCGATCATAAATTACTTTTTTAAAGGAAATTTGACATTAAAATACAATTAAACAAAAAATATTACATACTTTATCGTTGATCGTAAATGAATAAAAAACACTAAGAAAAAAACTTCTTTAACACAATGTCCAAATTAAAAGACTTTGAAGATTTTTTTGATGATTCAATAAATTGATGATTTTACAATGACTCATATCGCACTCGGAAAACATCCGTATTCGTCTTCAACTACTTTACGATTGAACATCCTCTCGGAAGTGGACGGATAATAAAGTCGTACTGAAGCTAACCGAAGAAACAATCAAACAATACTATTCGATGCGGAAAAAATATTGTTCTGCATATTTCTGTTGCATTCTAACAAATTAACATACAAATTGACAGGGGATAGTGGAGAGCGCACCGCATAAAAGGTGACTGAATATTCATTTCATCGTTCAGTATGATCTATATGGACACACCGTAGTTTAAAAAGCGGACTGTTGTCGCATCCACCTACCTCGACTGAAGGTGAAATTCACATGTATTGCTACGTTTGTGTAAGTGAATTTCGTGCTGCGGTCACCCCCTCCTTACTATTGCATGCGATTATTTATATGTTTTTTACGGTTTATTTAATACAAAATATATATGTGTTTTTTGTCAAAGTCTATCACACACACGATCATAGAGCACCAATGCATTGTAACTTCAAAAAGAGCCCTTTTGAGAAACGCATGCATCCGATTACGGAATGCCACATACAAATGCATATATATATATATATTACTTTTTTTTAATTCACCGTCATATTCGTAGAAAAAACGAAAACGATTGAAATGAATTAACAAACACGTGAATGTGTATGTGATTCAACTGACCATTGCATATGTATTCAGGAAGAGAAAACAATTTAAATCGCGACAACTGGGTAAACTTGAGGCAATGAATAGCCTTCAAACACGGTGTTAATTAAGGGTAAGAGTCAATCCATTCAGGTCGAACGTAGCCTTCATTTGATTTCAGGCAACTGTTGCAAGTTTTCGTTTCCCTCTTCAGAATACTTAATTGTACGTTTTTTGTATGCTTTTGTTATTGAATTCATATTTTCATGCTGAGAAATAATATGTGATTCGATCATATTGCAGGTGAAAACGCCACATCAATATTTTAATTTCACATCAATTGAATTGATGGTTTCGATAAAAAGAACACGTTATTGTATTGTTCTAGGTTGTTGTTGTTTTTTTTTTTCAAAGACAGACACGAGTCCAGATAGAAATCTAGTTGATTTTTGAAGTTTATGCCATATAAACATGGATTGCAACCTATTGAAGTGCTTATTGTCTTTTATATTGTTTTAAAATAAAACACTGAACATTTTGAAATCAATGGGGTCGAAAAATCCCACGCTTATTTTCACAAAGTTAAATTTCGTCTTATTTATATTTGATGTTCTCTTGCGAAATATGTTTACGAACAATATAAGCCACCAAAGAAAATTCAAACAAAAAAAAAAAATACGTCGTCCACCCTTGCAATGGTGCAACATTGTACAAGCGTCGAATAAGAACAGCAACACACAGGGATCTTACAGCGGCAACGACAACGGCTCAAAGAGAAATGCATAATAACGAACATTGGTATTTAGAATATGTAGAAATCCGGAACGAACGCTAACGGTTTCACCATATGTTCTTCAGAAAACAAAAGGCGAATGGCACATATTTCGACAAATTACAGAGACGACGATGTGAACACTATGAGAAATTGGGAATTCTTATGATGCTTGTGCGTCCATGTGAACTATTTATATTCGTATTTATGTTGAAAAGGAAAGAAATTAAAGGTATGCGTTAGTGAAAAGATGGTATATCAAACGGCCATATGTCGCTGTATTCGAGTTAAGTGAAGTGAAGACGCTTTTTGTGTGACTTTAAATTATGCCGGCAATCGTGGGAATTTGAATTAAAAAAACACATTTTGCGGTGACTTATGGATTTTTGATCAAAATCTTCGAATCTTCCAAATAAGATAATTTTACAATTATAAAAACTTTTCCACACATAATTTGCGTTGTGTCATAAAATTATTTATTTAAAATTTTACTTCAATATGTAGAATAATATTTTTAGATCAAACTAAATGGATTTCAATAATTGAATTCTCTAGAATAAATACAGCGTATGATACGGTCGCACACCAAAGGTTGTTTTTACATACATTTTTTGCTGTATTTTGTATGACGGTGTTTCGCTTTGAAATGCAACCTTTTCATATGCTGTTTTTATTCTATAGCAATCAATTCTACATTCTTATCAAAGCATTGTATTATGTATTTTCCCATTTCTTTTGCGATGTGTTTATAGAATTGAATTTAAATCCAATTAAAATGCATTCAAAATAAATTTACCGTAAGATTTAAGTATTTCTAGTAATTGCAAACAGCTCAAAATGACAATGTATCAAAGCGAGCGTAATAAAAACATGTAACTTTTCAGCAAATGGGTTACTTTGTCATTTTAAACTATATTTCAAACTTCTTTTTCAAATCATTTAATCCTTTTTAGTCAGATTTTTTGTGGTTACGTTAAAATGAAATGAATAATCTGTTAATGCTCTTTTGTCGTGATGTTTTCCTTTTTTCATTATAAACTACCAAAAAGGCAAATCTAACTATGTAGATCAGTATCGTAAATTTGAAGTGATGCACGGAATAATTCTTTTTTCATTTAGATTTAGCTTTACGATAAAAATCTTGAAATCAAAACTAGTTAATATTTGAGTGGTTTTTTTACTGTTACAGTTGTTGACAATGGCTTGGCTCGTGCAGTGACTTGTGGTTTTGCATTACGTGACGCATAATTAAATTTTAATAAAAAAAATAACGAATCAAATCAACGTCGTTCGAATCATACGAACCACGAAAAAAGAAACTGTGTAACCGTTACAATTGATTTTCTACATTGGGCTCGTTGATTTTTGTATAAGCATGTGTGTCTCTGTGTGTCACGAACTATGTATTGAGCCGGAAGTAAATCATTTACTTTTTGAAATTTGGATTTTCCCTTTCGAAATTTGCCCGTTGATCAGTTGAAAAAAGACAAAATAACGTAATAAACATAGAAAATCAACCCTCAAACGACGCGATATCCGGCATACCCGTTTAACCTGTACATTGCACATGAACTCACTCGTGCACTAGAACTAACGATTAAAACGACTTTTTTTTCTCGATTTCAACATTTGTCTGTCTCAATACAAACAAGCGTGTGCTGTTTACAGCACATTCTATTTTTTTACCAAGTTCATTTTATCCACCTTTTTTCAATGATTTGCATTTGACTTTTGGTCCTGATAATCATGGTGATAAATAAAGTGTAACAGTCATTTTGGTTGTTCGTGTTGGTTTTGCTGCTATTGCTATTGCTGCTACAATCAGTTCCGTTGAAATTTATTAAAAATTCATATCGAATTTTGATCTCATTCAATAATAAATGAAAAGAATAATGAAATAATTTGCGGTTGAGCACGATAAACGTATTTGAAAATATGAAAAAGCAGAGAATTGGGGTGTGTGGTAAGCCAGTTATTTGTTTTATTTACAAGCGCGTTCTGCTTGTTCAATGTTCATATTTGAGTCCTTTTTGAAATCCGATTCGCTCAGTGCGGATATTACCATATTTCTGTAGTACAGCACAGAGTCTGTTTCGGACATACAATTTTTGCACCTGTACGTTTATTCAAATTCTTTAACGTGCATTTCGTGCATGCACACGGAAATATCAAGCTACACAGGATACAGATATTCAGTTGTGGGCATTGAATTTAAGTTTAATGCAGAAGAAAGCAATTAAGTTTACTTGAATTCGAATTGTAACGAATCAACCGTTAGACAATTTGTCAAATTGTCTACGGCAGTATGTCGTCCGCTTTATGCAGAATATTCTGCTATATAGCATTGAATGAGGTTTAAAGCGATGATGCGCTTCCGTCACTTTAAATTTATTGCACCATGATTGAAAAAAAAACACTCCCATTATAACAACTATATTTTTTAACAGTCAACTATTAATGCGTTTAAGTAATGTGAAAAACACGTTCCAAATTAGTAAAAACATGATATCTCTATTAAACCTCATTCTACCACGATAATTCACTGCCATTTCATGGCCCATCCCTTCGTAAAAACCATTGATTCAATTCATCTTTTATCTCAATGCGTCATGACAAACGTTTCGCCTTCATGTGTTCTCAAATTATCACCGCATGCGTGTACACTGTACACTCCACATGGTCTTTTAGATAGAAGCCAAATTTTACCCTATCAAATTGTTCGATTGTAGTTACTGTCATTGTCTGTACAATAAAATTGGCTTTCTTTCTACATTGTGCTTGTCCGTGCATCTGTATTTACCCGTGTTACATACGTTTTTTTTTTGTTATTGCATGCGAAATGTAGTATATCAGCGTGTATTGCACCGTTTTTGTGTTTAGTGAAATACCTTCTTTAAATATCCATGTGTGAAATGACATCATCACCCCTATTACAATCAAATCATATTCGTAAAGTATAGTATAAATTGAGTTGACAAACAAAAAAAACCGATTGACTGCGATCAACAACACATTTATTGCGAAAACGAACTGCTGATGAATTGTGTGAAGGCCTAGAATTCACATCGAATATTTGAATTGGAAGTTTTAGTTGAACACATTACTATTTTGTGATATATAGATCCAAATTTGAATTCGAATTGAAAAGAAATGATGTAACGTCAAGAAAGGGTGGAATTTATCACAAGATCAAAAAACATTTTTTTTACCCCGCGTAATATTCTATTGTGTTGACATGCAAGCAGTATGTTTTTCGAATAGTGTAAAACACATGGACCACCGTGTAATGTGAATGCCAACTGATCAATTTAATCCTCGTCTCTATAGTTTTTTTTTTGCTCGCTTGTTTGCCTAACTCTTTTATTATGCAAACAAAAGTGTGGCCAATCCAATTTATTATGTATCGGTGTATGATAGACGATAATGTAATGGGATTTGGCACACGTTTAGAAAGCCATTTTCAACGTTTCAATTCTCATTCAACATTCATCTCGTGCAACATATAACGTTCATGATTCAAGATTTTAAATGGTGTCAATGTGCAAAGGCGATGAAAATTAATGCTTGTCATCGATACACATGCAGAAATCGTATTTTAGAAGGATATTACGAAGCATGATGGCTTCAAAAATTACATTTTCAAATAATTGGTTAAACATTCGAATCGACATGCATTCGATGAATTTTTATCAATTTATCGATTGTATTTGCGTCCATTGAATACTGTAAGAATCATGCATGCAGATGCTTTTTCGAAATTTTAAGGGTTATCGACTTGATATTCTGTATAAAACTAACGCCACTATATATGTCGTTGTATAAACGGGTAATTCATATTTTATTTATGGATTGAATTAATTTTAGGACTCATTTCATTCACATTTCCGTCCGTTGAATCAAAAACTCGATTGGGTGATTTATCAATCATAAAATGTGTTGCGATGTATGTGTTATTTATGGCGATTGGTATAATAGAGATCGTGCTTCGTGAGTATTAATTATATTGAATTTCCCATATTCTGCAAATTTTGAGAAAGTCTGCGACACATTACGATATCATTTTTAATTTTGTTTTTTTTTCTGCTGTTGTTTGGTGATTTTGTATGTTAGCGCAGTGGCTTTCAGTCAGATTTTCCTCTTCGATCGATGTCATTTTAAGAATGATATATGTATTTAGCCTTGTCACAAGAAACCTACTCATTTTTTGTATATTAGATGGCGGAATATCGATGGTTTTTTATATAATATAATAATTAGATAGTGTAAATGAGGTATGAAAGAAAAATATAGTCACCATCAAAAAATTGCCATAAATCAATATTGATACAAATTTGAGCCTTCGATTTGGTTCGCTCGATCGGTACAGCAATTACAGGAAATAAAAAAAGTTCTGTTTGCCTGCGCGAAGTGTCTATGTTAGTATAAACGTAGACATTGAAAGCACTTTTCATGTCGTCGAAATATGATAACAAACACATGAGATTGGGGCAAGAAGCAGTTTTGGATTGGCACCATCGGAGCAATAAAGAAACATAAAAAGGTGAATTTGTATTATTTCGTGTTTTTGGCATACAGATTTGGTATCAACCTCACGATGAAATAGAAATACAGATAGTATGATTACAGTGAATTGTATTCAAAATCAAAAATTTACTGATTCAATGATGAAAATGAAATGTAACAAATGCTCAAAAAGGTAAAAACGTGCTCAAAAATAGTGTGAAACGTACGAACGATTGGCAAAATACTAAAGTGTCTTTCGTTTGTATTGAAAAGAAACACACATTTATATATGAAAATGACACAAGACACGTAACAATAAACCAAAATAAAAATAAACCATTGAAATGAACGAGGAGAGGCAAAAAAGTGTCCAGAAAACGACAAAACAAGAAAAGACATTCGCGCACGGCGATCGAATGAATGCGACCGCGCAATTGCCACAACTAATACACAAAATTCGTATTCATGCAAACCGAAAACTGCATTCAGAGTCGGACGACGACGATAGTTCGGCGAGTGATATATGGTTATCACATAAAATATATGTCGGATTGGTATGTGGGATTTGGGACAGAATATGTGGACTGCAAACACATTTTACGATTTCATTCAAATGATATCTGTTGCAAACATTTTTGCTTTTATTATTGAAATTGAAAAGATGGATGCAGATGTAATGTATTCAGTTGCAAAGAGAATTTCTCAAAACTGTGTACCGAAGAAACGGAGCAGAAACCTCAGAATTCAAGCACATACATATTACACATATACAACACCTCTATTGGCTCTAACGATAAAAAGGCAAACTGCAGTGTAAAGAGTAACAGTCATCGCGGTCGTCGTCTTTTTTAAATTTTATTTGTACATGTGCGTTGTCGTCGGTTGTATTGATTCTCTTATTCTATTTTTTTCTTTTCCTCATGAATTTTCGTTTTTATTGTTGAAAGAATGCTCGCATGTATGCACATAACATGGTCCATTACGGGGCTTAATCACAATCTATGGGCATAGAATGAAAGGCGCAAAATCAAACAAACCAGAACAATGCAAATAAATAAGCATATTTCACTAGCGTATTACAATTCCGAAAAAAACCAATTCACATTTTGTCTGCCATTTCAAGCCATTCATAACAGAAACCAATTCCATGCTTTGACCGCACAACACAATAAATTTGATGATTCCGTCAGTTTGTCTCGAAGTGAATCGCTTGCAAAGGCGACTATACAAAGCACAGATCAGAGCAAATGTAACGCGCTCTTAAATGAGAATTAACTAAATCATCATCCGTTGTGCAAATATCATTGTACAAACATGATTACTGTACTGACATTTTCACCGTCATTTATGCCGCACTGAAATGCGAAACATTCAAAAAGGAACAAGAAAAGGCTAAATAAAATTAATATTTTACGAACGATACACAGCATTTTTCTACCCATTTACAGAGTCCCAAAAACAATTTGACTTTTCCTTTCGTATATGAAAGCTGTGTTTAACAAATATATGGTTTATTTTGTGTTGAACACATTTACAATAAGATCAGTTCCGATCAATATCAATTTGTATTGAATGTGTAGTGCGTGAGGGTTCTCAACGAAAGATTATTAACAGTTGGTTATTCAAACCGACTGCAATGTTGTATCATTTCCACGCATGCAAACACTAGACAGTATGAAACGAAACAAAATGCAGACGCTTAGAACAAGAGAAAGATATGACACATAATCATGAAAGGCACAACATGTGTGATTCAGAAGCCAAATCTGGAATGACAGACAAAGCAGAATGAGATGTTGATCAGTAGTAAACTGATGACAATTTTGTTTTCTTCTCTTTGTATTCATAATATCGACGGAATCCGAAAACCAAATCGAATCGATACCCTGACGCAAAAGAGCAATAGGAGCACATACGATTACGATAATAATATATGTGATGATGTAAAATTGAGATATTATTAAATCGTGTATCGATGCCGTAAAATAATGGATTTGTCATTTCAATTTGTTCGCTTTAGGTATACGGATGGGTGAGAGCGTGACATAACGCATGAACTGATTAACAAACTCATTGCACACTCGTTTATTTTATCGTACACAATACCAATGGGTCAAAGCAACTATTATAGGGGCAATTTACACACTTTCTATTTCATTTTTCGAACAAATCGCCGTCATACAAACAACGGAAAGCGTGCCAAACCACCAAAAAATGTTGTTTAGATTTTTTTCACAAATACGTTTCAAACATTCGTGTTGTCATTTTCAATCATTTCAGTTAATTCGTTTTCTCATTGTTGTGGTTGCGTATGATTTAACTAACCAACGTTTACTATGACATCGAATTTCATACGTGTGAATTATGTGCAAGAGCTATTGATTTTTTACTATTATGATTTTTATGATAGTTTTATTGGGACTTGAAATTTTTGTAGAAGTTTTGTTATTTCTTTGTTAATTTGTGTTCAATATTCTGCATGATTAGGAATTAATTTTAAGTTCAATACAAAACATGCACCAAAATTACTCACCTGTTTCTTTATCACTGTTGTCATAAAACATATCCTTAAGATTTAAAGGAACTTTGGATGTGAGCAATAATTCATCACCAGCTGGAATGTCACGTATAACTTCGTACCATAACTAAAAAGAAATTCAGACAAATCATCAATTGGGAGTTTATAAAATCTTGGATTCAATCGCACTTACACATCCCGTATGAACGAAGCAACATTTAACATTTGCTTCATGTTCCATAAAAATAGTTTTCATTTCTTTGAGCCAATGAATGAATTGAGGAACTGGTTCAAGCCAGCCACTTACACCTGGAGCAGAGATCACCTAAAAATTAGACAAAAACATATTCAAAATTTCATGCTTTCCGAGAAACGGTAACGACGGTGAATGGAGCAACAATTATAACACTTTTAAAGCGAGGGTTTGTGTCAAAGATAAGTTTTCGATGGAGACGGTTCATATTGATGTAATGCTTCGTGGTATGAAGTGTTCCCTTATATTACATGCTTCAATTCATCAGCAACAAAAAAAGTACAGAAAAAGAGGAAACTTGAATGGTATGGTGTGAGATTGTCTACAACAGCGATTTGTATCCTCTGATTGTATGAAATGCATTATGGAATGAAAGTTCCATATTTTTGAAGTATATTTTCTTGTAGTTTATTTCGCACCAGGCATATTCATTATGTTTCATGTGACGACGATGTCGATCGATCGTATTGAACAAAACGTAAAATGGGTTTTGTTTGTAATAATTCATTCACGCCAAACGGTGGCAGTTCGCTGACAATTGCGACAGACAATATACAGAGAAATGTATAAAAAACAGGGTAAGAAAGACTAGATAAACAGCCAAACGGAATTCGATTAGGGTCGTTGTTGGTCATTTTATGTCTTCTTTCCAGTTAAAGAATGAAGAGCGTAAACCGACCAAAGGAAAACATTCAAATTAAATGACCATAAATTTTAAAATACAGCGCAAACATGTACAATCAATAGAACACCGAGAAGCACAAATATATGAACGCATAGCACGAAAAATATTGTGCATGCGTTTATCATTAACAATTCGAAAAATTAAATGTATATGTTCACAAGCATTTAACTTCATAGACATTTTCACCTTTATTTTCTCTCTTTCGTCGTCGTTGTTTCGACACGAAAATAATTTATAGTTTCCTTCCATACGTGTAAATACTTTATGCGGATTGTCTTGTCTTTTTTTAGTTACCTATACTACTGTAAACATAAATTTCAGACCGTTCTTTGCCTACATTAGATCTTTGAATAAGTTTTGTTTGACCCCGAGGCATATAAATAGTACGCTCGCTTCACATAGAAAAACTGGTAATAGATAAGATGAATGTTAAGAGCGTGTAATATGTTTGAATATCCTTGTAATTCTATTTACTTAGTCACAATTATTTAAAACAAATTATTTCATCTGCTGGAAACTTCGTTACGAAAATTTGCATATTTTTCAAAAAATTCTGTGCGTGATATCAGAAAGGGCAATTGTTTTAATAAAAAGGTAAGAAATAATTGTGTACTTATGGCCTGAAACATTTATTTCGACTCTACAGTTCAGCGAAGCGATTTGCGGTATGACTCTCAAAATATTGTCGAATATTCTGCAGCAGTATTACTGCTACCAAAAAAGTAGTCATAAAAACGGTAAAATATTTGAAAATTCCTTGATTTTTTTTTAATGTCGAGTGAATATGTTACGTTTTTTGCAACAAAATGCGTGTTTGTGCCAACGACTTCATTATTATTATACTTATATTTGTTGTGACTTTTGCGGTTACTGAGATTTTTTGCTGCTGCACTCTTGAACGTATTCTTTTTATTTGTGCAAAAAAGCGTTTTGCTACAACAGACTGAAATGCGACAAGAAAGAGAAAATGAAGTGATCTTCAGTTTTTGTCTGGTTCGTTTTCGTTTGCCTTTTCGTAACCGTTTGGAGTGCCCAATAAATTTTGAAATAACAAGATACGGTCGGTTGATTACAATAATTATTATGTGATGCCACTGTGGATATGCGAGTGATTCAACTGGGCACGTTTATGCTATCACTCTCTTTTTTTCTGTGTCCTGTGTGTTGTGTCGGCATTCTTTGCCTTGCTATACGTTTAGAAACTAATTGAGTGGGCTTTGTTGTCGCGATCGGTGTCGATTGGTGTCGATATTTACTCTTGATTGTTTATTATATTTGACATTTTTATGGGGCACAAAATGCAACTGCAAGAACTGAGCTGTAGTGTGCTGATCAAAAAGACAAAATACAAACAACAGCAATACCGTTGAGATTCAAAAGATTGCATGCGCCGTTTAAGAAAAGATAAAAAGCGGAACACTTAATTTACAAAAAAAAATCTATATGAATCTGCACTAAAAACGAAGAGAGGCAAAACAATGGAATATGATCGTTAAAATGGTGCAAAAAATTCATTATAACACCATAAATTTGGCATTTAAAAGCAACACATCATAAAATTATGAAAAATTGCATTTAAATTTTGTGAAAAAGGCGACAAAATGCAAACGTTGACCGGTTGACAGAAAGAAATATCAACGGAAAACGTGACACTTCAACGCTCATCTCGTCATGTATTCACGTTTAAATTTTACTTTCGTGAGTAGTAAGTATTATTAAAGTGTCGCAAAATAAATTTAACAAAGAAAATAAATATAAAACTGAATTGGCCTTTCGTTCGTCGTTTTTAGGAACTTCTCCAATAAACTATAACATTAAACTCGGCAATGACATGAGATCGAACTGGGTTCTGTTGTGACTGCATCTCTTTTAAAAATATTTTCTGATGTTTCCATGATTTATAAAATATATCTTCTTTTTCTGTTCGTTGAAAAGTGTCATTTACTTTGTCCAGGCGTTTTTATTATTGCTTAAAACAATGACATTAACTTTGATTTTATGTCTTTTTGGAAGGCATTCGCCGTTTGGAAAAAAAACCCAAGAAACTATCTTCATTTAAATTTGTTTTACGACAAACATATTAAGCGTGTCCATCCTGTCACTTTTCTAGCGTTTCGAATTATTATGGAAGTTTTATTTTGACTCGGTACTTTGAAAAAAAAAAATTGACGATTCCAGAGCACTAATTATTTTTGGATCAATGTTCTAGTAAAAGATCGTTGTCCTTAAGCGTAATTCAGCGTAAAATTAAAAAATCAGGTTTTATTGCTGATTCGGCGGTATAAAAATCTCATCGTTAAGAAAAATGTCAATTCGAATTGAAAGAAATTCAACTCTGTTATCCGACTAACATTTCTTTGTTTTTAGGAAACAGAAATAAATGCAATAACAATAACAGAGCTGAGATTTTATCTCTTTAATAAAATGTCCAACAATAATTTGCCAAATTGTGTGTACTATATACGGTTACTGTTTGTGAAACAACGAATAGGTAAAATGAAATATTACGACCATATTACACATGTAATCATATCCGGTATGTTGTAAAAAACACGCATATATATCCCAAAAAGAGTCCGCTGAAAAACTATTTTTGTGATGAAGACATCTGTTCGTAAGTAGTATATTTTTTGGGGTCTGGCAATCCAAAAACCATAAAGAAAAGAAATGGAAGCGATTTTCTTGTGCTCAATTAGACTATTTATTTTTCTCAATTTGGACCGAAAAATCAGAGATTCTTTTGACATGGCTACCATATAATTTTATTGAATAACAGCAGCAATTGCTGTCAAATAATCTTTTGAATGGTAGTCGCTGAGATTATTCCAAAAAGTAAAATAAATTAAATTAATAACCTTGGATTATATTAATATTACATATTATATAGTATAAAAAAAGAAGAACATGTTCATTTCGATTATTTCTGATGCGATGAAGATAAATTGCACGGAAAATTATGGGAAAATCTTTTCTTGATTCTATTAATAAAATAACTTCGAAATTGATTTGTCATTTTTTTGATGGAACGGAGAATAATTGGAGATTTAAGAGGAAAAAGGGGGAGTCTGAAGATATGAAATTATTATAAAATTAATAGTGGAAGATAAGTGGCGATATGACTGAAGGTCGGGACTATTGAATAAAAAAGGGGAAAAATCTGAAGAATTTCAAATGAGGGTGTACAATATCACTTCGAATCTTCTTCTTCACATAGCTTTGATACCGCTTTATACAAAGAGTGACATAGTTTCAAAGACAATTTAATTCTCATAATATAATTATGAAAAACATAAAACAATGATTAATAAACAAATTGTATCACATGAATAATGCTTTATCACATTCAATTAGCATTCAAAAAATCAGAAGAAAAAAAAACAATTATTGTTTGTCATTTATCAGAGATTGTTGGGAGAAACATTTTTGTGCGTAAACATGGCTCATCTCATTTTAATACGTTAATCGATTGAATGCAGTCTAGTGATCATAACATATGTTGTTATGTCATTAGATGCAGGCGCTGTGGTTTATGATCTTTTTCACTTCAATGGATCCATCGGCAACATCAAGAAGCGTACATATTGTACATTTGCTCACCCAAAACATTTTATCATCTTCATAATTTGAAACAATAAATTATGACAGAATATTGTTGCACTTGACATCGCACTCCTGCTGTCGTCATAGTCGTCGTTACACTGACAATGCATTTTCAGATTTTTCATAATCATTCGTTCCATTCAACGAAAATTGTTCTTATACGCGCCGTAATTTTTATTATGAGAATATTCCATTAGACATTAGATATATATTTATGGCACTGAGTAAGCACTTGACCTCTGTATTATGTGTGGAAAATATTGCTGTTGAATCAATCGACAGAGCAGCGTGGTGCATTAGTTCAATGATGGAACGATTCCAAAACAATGGTTTTGCATTCACGCTCATAGCTAAATCAATTAGGTCTTAGCTTATTGAAATAAAATGAACGATGAGCGGAATATTTTTGTGAGAACCTTTTCTGAATCGGAGAGCTAACGTAGGTGTCAATGACTCATACTCCTAACTAACTGAATGAAGTGACACAAATTCAATGATTTACTAATTTTGAACTACTATTCACCACAGAATAAAAAAAAAAATAGTGCTTGACTTCGGTTCCAAGTGTGAAAATATTTTGCATTTTTTTTGCTGGCAATGTATTTTGAACGTAAAATGCGTGGCTTTTTCACTCCTCTACAATCGTAGTGATGATGACTGCTCTGAACGAATGATTAGATTACACACAAAAACACTATAAAAACTGCGTGAAACGACTTAAGGCAATTTTCATGTACTTGTGTCTGTTCGATGGCTATGCTCTCCGCACAAAGTCATGTCTCTTTTT